TATAAACTCTTGGCTTGATTCACGAGTGTAGGAACAGTAGATCTCGCTGTTGCCGCGAGTGTCCCCAGGCATCGTGATACCATAGGTTAGCGATGTAGGGGCCACCGCCCGTTCTGATCGAGCCGCCTGTTCCCTCCATCTTCTCTTCCGTTCGAGAGGGTTTACTTAGGAATAACGTCATGCATGGGGTAATAACTCACCAGCTTATATAATCTTCAGCCTAGCTCTAGACCCAGCATCGCGCTCGCCAATCTACCGCTCGTTTTATGTGTACATGAGTATTGTGTAGACCCTGCATGCGACCGGGAAATCGTCCGCGTTTGTTCGAAGTGATACCAGTAGCAGCCCATGGGGTGCTCCGAGTCCACTCGATGCGACGATTCAGATCGACAGGCTAGCATCCGAGTGGTTCGGCTTCCTACTGCGCTGAAGACCTAGGCCGTTTCACTCGCTGGTCCGATCGGAAGGAAAATCTAATATATCGCGACGATGATGCTATTTCCAGTACGCACCGAACTGGTGCTTTAGAGTATGCTCCATGGGTCGGCTATCTATATAGCGCAAACGCATCCGACCGTCGATCTTGGGTATGCACGCGTCTATTACTGCGACCATGTCGATTTGTACGGAAGTTAAACTGTGAAAGACTCATAGAAGCCATATTCAAACGCCTGCATTTTATGCTCAATGCGACACCCATAACGATTGGCTCCGACGATCGCCCAGTTCACAGTTTATCTGGATGCACTGGCCGTGAGTGTGCATATATCTGCAGCTTCCGATCCTTGCTTGACCGCATCAATGCGCACCGATATTCTGTAGATGGGTAGGGGTTGAACACGGTAGAGAAGTACCGGGGCTAGCAAGCACTTTGTTAGCATGCAACGCCGTCAAGGGACGGCATAAATGCCTCAAGCCCAGGTGCGCTTCTGTTCCCGTGTTCACACCCATGAGTTACAAAGAAACAGCGAGACCGATATTTAGCAAAGAGGCTGGTCTGCTCGTCGCTTTCTTGATGCATGCACTGTGTAGTTTGCTGGTGGAATGTCTTCTCGCCTAGCGCTAACGTCATCACCTTGGCAGCTGAGGGTATTGCTCCCATCGTCACTCATCGGATGAGCTGGTATTACGCCATTGGCTCCGTGCCTAGGTAGGTCCAAGGGCATCAAGTGTGATACTACGATGTATGCCGCATATGTCCTGTGAATAGTGTATTTATGTAGCAGTAGGCTGAAACCTTTTTGATGGCGCGCACACGACGTGCCTGCCAATCGCAGAGCTCGGACGTCGTTCCAGTGCTGATCATCCGGATCTGATCTGATGCAAATCAATCGTACTGTGTATTGTCAGCTCCTGTTGACGTAGAGCTGAAACACCAAAACAGGGACCCGTAGACCGTATCAGCGTACGTCACCTGATGCGTAGTGTGCAGTTAGGGTCGTTGGGCATAAGTGTGATGGTGTTGCTTCTAACCTTGACAGGGACGGGCGAACGAGGCGGAGCAGGTTCCGCGAGCACATGCCGAGCTAGAGGTTCCGCCCATTGCCATGGACGATCGTCAAGTACGTGTACCCAATAGCTACCTAATGGTGCAGGGGAACCAACATGGGGCACTAGCTGAAATCTACGCGCTCCGCACTGAGGTGGTCGGCATCATTAGCTTACTTGTTGTTCCAGGCTGCACGGATACATGACCTACGCATTGGCGTTCGCAACGGAGCCGTGAACCATTATGTGTGGGTGGACGATGTTGTGGATGCGGTCAATAACTAAGCTGCTGGAAGATCTGGGGAAGGTACCCAGGCGTATTAGTAGCGGCTCTCAGGCGATGCGAGCTACATTATGCACACCTCCGACCGACGTTATTCCGGTAATGCACGTGGAAAACGACGGGCACATACTTTATATACTGTCGTAAGTTTCCCTGCTGTCTTAAGACTATACCACGTATTCGGACCTCCCACTGGCCGCTCATGCGGGCGCCATAGGTGTCTTCAGTAACAGTGGATAGCTTCAAGTACGTACCCAACTCTCATCCTCTTCCAGTGTCGTCATCTTTCTCGCATGAGAGCTATGGTGTGTGTGACAAATTTGCTGTAAGACGCTATGAGATGGCTGTCTAGGAATTCATCCGAAAAAGGGGATCTTCTAGAAGTAGTGGAGTCGGAAAACAAGGCGAGAGACGGGAAGGAGCGAGCATGATCATCAGGAATCCATTCATAGAATCTTGTCGCTTAAATCTCGGCGCAAAAGCCCGTTAATCTTGAGTTTGACGAGGTGGCTTCCGTAGTGGTGTGGTGTTTAAGACCGTCGCAAAACTAGTGAGCTCCATGAGTCGCATCACTACACGTCGACCGTGGGGCAGGGTCGCTCCGAAAGACAACAGAAGATGAGGAACGGAGATTGTGGAGCGATTGAACTGCTGTGTTTTCATTCAGCAGAACGACTGTTGCACGTTTATATGTCTAATAACAGCAATAGCGGAAAGAGATGAGAGGGAGTGACTTCGCTGTCGTCCGCGAGTAATAGTGTTGAATAAGCGAATCTAATGCTGCATGTAGGAGGTCAAGTCTTCAATGCATTGAAGGCAGTTACCAGCAAATCAATGTTGAGCTTGCCATTGCGCAGAAACTATTGGGCATGCGTACATGAACAGCTCCGAAAGGGGGCTTAACGATATGACAGCTCAATGACAGCTCACTGGTCAGGCAACCAGCGTTCGACAAAGGTCGTAAAGGCAGATAGTCGAATGGTTCGCGGCATGAGGCGTCTGTCACGGTGGTCACAGCTGTTATTCGCATCCACCGCGCACACTGACAGCCATTGTCAAACGTGACTGCAAGATGATCCGTTGATGCAGCGAATCTTCAGGGCATATGTGGAGCTGGTTCAAAAGATTGTTATGGATTTCATTTACGTCGTCAGTACTTACGTACGCGTGTACGCACGGCGCTCCGTAGAAGCGAGATCGAGTATGTGCCGGCTAAAAAGGCAGGGCGATGCAGACTTTGCAACTGGTAAGGGCGGAGAAAATTCTTGTGACGAAAAATTCTTGTGCATAGCCTGTACAGAGCCTGCAGTTAGAGCACACGTATTGGCAATCTACCGCGGAAGTTGGCGTGGCCAATCCGGTAACGAATGTGCGTATTGTTCTGTGCAAGAAGATGAAAGAAAGGGTCGTTTGTGAAACCCTGGTACGAAAACATTTTGGTGCAGAGCTGTGCATGGGGGTAGTTTGCCTTGCCGTAGATCCGAGGGTTTGATGTGTGTGATGGACGTTGCTGGTTGAACAGTTGGGAGATGCCGCATCTTGGAAACTCATGATGACGTTCTAGCGTCCACGTGCGTGCCATGTGCTGATTACGCAAAGACCCGCCTGGGGCCGGAAGATCCAGGGACCGCTATGCCTACAGCGTCGTGCGTCCGACGCGAATTTGTACAAGCTGCTCCGGAATATACACCAAGTTGACTACGGCGCAACTGTGACTGACGGTCGTGCAGGGTTCGGGTGGCAGGAGCAAGTTGCAAATCTGTCCGCAACGACGGTGCAAGTTGGTCGCCAAGAGAAGCTCCAGATACACGCCTGCGAACATAGTGTGACGCTCGCTTGCGTGACTGAAGACGACTAACCGCGCATTACACGCGGAGAAGGGTTGTTCCTGTAAGGTTCCCCTTGTGCGAGTCGCTCCTGGCAGGATTCACAGGAGCTTTCTAGAAGTGGTGTGTTTCCGAGAGATCCCAGCTGCAGGCAAACCTTGACGGAAGAGACTGACTCGGTACTGAATCCGTGACGCTGGATAGTGGACGATGGGTTTAGGAGGCAAGCAGAGCTTCTAGCGTGTCCCCTATTTAGGAGATACAGGACAGACAAGTAGGTATAGCGGACGAGGTGGAAGGCCGTCAGATTAGGGAAGAGAAGCGTCGTTTGTCATGTGTGTTCCCCCTGACGTATCGAGGCTGCATGTCTCCTAATTCGATTCAGCTCGCCAGCGCTCAAGCAGGTATGTGGGCTGTCTCCCTACTCGGCTCGACATGGTCACGGACCGCAAGGTTGGGGATTTGCGATGCGAACGGTCTCTGGCCCGCCATCATGGGCCAACTCACGGACTGAATCGCGTGTAAAGTAAGGGCGAATGATTGACGGGGTGGCGCATGGCTGTCGCTCCCAAGGCTCCCTATTCACGCAAGCCCTGTCCGGTTGGTCGTGGCAGGGGCCCATGTGCCTCCGACGCCCCCCGTGCAGGGATGGCGCGACGTACGTGCAGCGTGCAGCGTGCAGCCATGCATCGGTGCTGCTTAGTCTTGGCTGCAAACGGGATGCTGCAGTCGTCGGGGCTGGTAGTGGAGGCCAGGTGTGATGGAAGCCAGACGGCGTGCTGCGCGATGGTGGGTGATGACCAAGGGCGGCGACGCTGCAGCTGTTTGAATTACGAAAGCTAACGGGCCGGCGCATCGCATTCTCCCCTTGTGCACAGTGCCTCGCAGACAGGCCCGTGTTGGACGGCTCGAATCGCGTCGGGCACAATACCCCGGCTAACGCAGCTTGCCGGTACCTGGTGGCTCTAACCTAAAGGTCCACCCAGCCCGCGGGCTCTTCAACGCTGCTCCGTGTGCTCTCTGGATGCTGAAACGTGCTTGAGGCGATCCCAAAGTGAGGCCCGCCCCAGCCCCGGCCCTTCCATGTCGAACGGTTTTGAACTTTGTTTGTCTGGACGCCGTCGTCCTCACCCACCCCACAGCACACCCAAGGAGGCTTTGGATACGAATCTCTACCTGTTCCGGCAGCTGGGCGACAGATACGACACACAGGACAAGAGAGGCAAGAAGAGAGTCGAGTTGGTCGATTGAGACGTGTCGTGGAGCTCCGGGCGCTCATGTCTTTCCTAGGCCTCCGTCCGCACTCGCGCAGCAGTCACACGACGAAAGGCTTGACGTCGCACACACAACGATCGGACGCGACTCTGGTCAGCTCGCAACCGCCGCCTCGCTCGGGCAGAGGCATGGCCGGGGTCATGGACATGGAGCGGACGCGGACACGACGGGAACGAACCTTTATCGGCAGCGAGTGCTGCGTGTGTGAGGAGAACCTCGAGTACACGCTGCGGGGCGAGCGGATACTGCAGCTCTCGTGCGGCCATGTGTCGCACGAGGCGTGCTTCTACGAGTACATCCGCGAGTTCGAGTCGCAGCACTGCCCGACGTGCGATGCGACGCTGGGGCTCGACAGCAGCAGAGGGGGCAACGTGCTCGACCTTGGTAGGCAGCCCTCGCAGACGGCGGCGGGCAGGCAGGCTGATGTGCGCGCAGAGAAACTGTCGACGATTGTGCGTTCGGTGCAGCACGAGGCGCCGCCGCCGCACGCCGAGAGCCAGCGCAGCGCAGCCAACACGCCCACGCCGTGGGACAGCCAGGCTGAGCGGCCGCACGACGAGCAGCAGCAGCACCAGCACCAGCACGGGCGGTCGCGCACCGGAAGCAACGCGTCGGCGCGATACCCGCCCACGACACACACACGGCAGCGGGACAGCAGCCACAGTCGCGACCGCGGCTCCGAGCGGGGCGCGTCGCTGTCGCTGTCACAGGCGCAGTCGCGGGCCCACGGGCGCAGCGACTCGGGCGCGACGGGGCTCGCGTCGTCGAGCGAGTATGCCGCGACGCACGACGGGCGGCGGCACGACTACGACGTGCAGTCGATGGAGACGAGCCTCAGCAGCCCGCGCGGCGGCGTGCGGAGCCCCATCCCCGCGCCCACCGTCACCGTCCGCAGCGAGTTCCCTACGCTGAGCCGGTCGCGGCAGCAGCAGAGCCTGACGTGCCTCGTCACCGTCGAGGTGGTCGAGGGCAAGTGGCGGCCCAGCCCCGACGACCTGCCGCGAGCGCCGCCGCCGCTGCCGCCGCTCGCCAGCGTGGCCGAGAGCGATTACGAGCGCTCCAAGTCGCCCGCGCCGCCGTACGAGCCGGCGGCGCTGCTCGACGACATGACCGAAGACCTGCACGCCCGTGTCGACAACTGGCACGGCCTCGACTTCTCGCGCTTCGGCAAGCTGCGCCTCCATGGCCACATCCGCGTTGGCAAGGACCGCCAGTCGTGGCAGGAGCTCGAGTGCTACCTCTTCTCCGAGATGCTCATCTGCGTCAAGGAGAAGAAGACGCCGCCCCTCACCAAGACAAAGTGCACCCTCAAGGGCTCCATCCTCATCAAGAAGCACCTCAACCACGTCGAGCACGCGCCCGACAGCCTCGTCCTGACCCTCAGCCTCTCCGTCGCCGAGCTGCCCGCCTTCCACCTGCAGTTCCACGACCGCAGCCAGCTCGACCTCTGGCGCCGCGCCCTCATGGACATCCGCCTCGACTTCCCCACCGCCGCCCGCCTGCCCGACTACGACCACGACAACTCGGGCCCCGACGACGACGACTACCGCCGCCCCAAGCGCCTCTCCTCCATCAACTCGTCCTACGGCGCCGCCAGGTCCACCATGACCGCCCCGACCGAGTACAGCGCCCCGCGCGCCGCCGTGCCCGAGCCGCGCCCCGCGCCCTCGATCCACGTGCCCGTCGACATTGTCGTCGTCATCCCCGTATCCTCCTCCATGCAGGGCTTGAAGATCAACCTGCTCCGCGACACCCTGCGCTTCCTGGTCCACAACCTGGGCGAGCGCGACCGCATGGGCCTCGTCACCTTCGGCTCCAGCGGCGGTGGTGTCCCCATCGTCGGCATGACGAGCAAGGCGTGGAGAGACTGGCCCAAGGTGCTCGATTCCATCCGCCCCGTTGGCCAGAAGAGCCTGCGCGCAGATGTCGTCGACGGTGCCAATGTCGCCATGGATCTGCTCATGCAGCGCAAGTCCAGCAACCCCCTCTCCAGCATCCTGCTCATCAGCGATTCCTCCACCTCCGATGCTGAAAGCGTCGACTTTGTCATCTCCCGCGCCGAGGCTGCGAAGTCCGTAGCCCCTTCCTCCCACAAATCCGCGCAACCACTGCTAACACGTAATCCAGGGTCTCCATCCACTCCTTCGGTCTAGGACTGACACACAAGCCCGATACCATGATTGAACTTTCTACCCGCACCAAGGCTTCGTACACGTACGTCAAAGACTGGATGATGCTGCGTGAGTGTGCAGCTGGCTGTCTCGGCTCCCTCCAGACTACCTCGCATCAAAACGTCAAACTCAAGCTACGACTACCCGAAGGCTCTCCTGCCAAGTTTGTCAAGATCAGCGGCGCCCTACAGATTACAAAACGAGCTACCGGACGAGACGCCGAAGCCGCGTTGGGTGACCTGCGTTTTGGTGACAAGCGAGACATTTTGGTCCAACTAGCCATTGCACCAGACACCGGCTCACCAGAACAGCTTCCTCAGGACCCTTGGGAGTCGATTGTGTCTGGCCTTGAGGCTCTCGGTGGACCGCTCGACCAGGACGACTCACGCACACTCAGCGTTGAAGAAGTGCCGCTGATCCAGGCAGACCTGACGTACGGTGACATCCTACGCGAAGGGTCTTTGTCACATTTACCACGCCCGTCGTTACTCGCCATCACTCTGCTACCGTCAGGGCCAAAGAAGAGCCCGACTGGAAGACCACCAACACCTCCCATCCCACCTCATCCTCACGTCGTGCAGCGACGCATGGAATTGCTCACCTCAGACATGCTGACACGCGCATTGACGCTTGTTTCGCGTGGGCAACACGACCGCGCACACCACCTTCTCAAGGAAACGCGCAGTATTCTAAAAGGACTCGGAAAAGGAGGTCTGCCACCACTTCCACCTCCAGGTCACCGACGCAACGAACCATCCAGTGCAGCAGGCAGCACTGGATCCGCATCACCGACATTGCACAGTACCAGTGGCGACTTGCGTGCGCGAACGCCCTCGCCTCATGCGGATAGCCCCTTTACTCCTGCAGCAGGCATTGATGTCAGAACCATGTATGCGCTTGACGCAGAACTCGAGTCCAGTCTCGAGTGGATCAACCACCCTGCTGTCTTCGGTAGGGATTCGCGAAAGGCCGTGTTGCAGGCAATCGGTGTCATCTCATCCCAGCGCGCGTACACCTTCCGCTCGCCCTCGGAATCTCTCTGGGCAGAGCGCATTGCTGGTGTCAAGCGCCTATCCGAACGCGCACGCGACTGGCGCGAAACCGGCGACCAAGAAGCCTTGATGGAGGAGAATTAATTGCGCGCAACGACTCTTCGATCTCTTCGCATTTGCTTGCATATACCCTGTATCATAGCGCATCACTCTTTGGTATCATGTTTCCTTGCTTCCATTCACGGCCATATCTTTCTTTTTGGCGATTTCACTGTTAGAGCTGTCATCGGGCTCATCCCACTTGAGACGTCTTGTTTCTCTTTGTTTCTCTTATTGGGTTTACGATACCAACACGGGTCTATATCTCCTTGCATTGGGTGGACCTCCTGGATTTGCAAAAGTAGGACTCGGGCGTCGCTCTCACCACATCTATGCTTTAGAGAGCACCACAGCCCCTTGGCGATTGATTGGCTACACATATGCACTTAGACGCACGAATATCACATCCGTACCATACTCCGTACCGTACTGCATCTGCTACGCTACTTGGGTAAACCGCAACGTTCACGTATGCTCAATAGCTATACCGGGTACAAGCACCCGCAGCTTGTGCTAACCCCTGAAATTGCATCACCCGTGTGTCTTTTAACACGCTGATTGCTGTAAGGGTCAGTCTACACTTGGTCAAGGCAGTCTTGGAACTCCACTGCGGTGAGTTCCGATGGTGGACGCCATGGCTACGAACAAAAGCCGGCAGAGCTACTTCTTCGGTGCGTTCGGGTGCATTACCCCTCACCTTAATCCAGTACCGTTATATATCTATAAGTTTGCAACTATACATCCATACAAGCATTGTTCATCTCGGCATGCAAGGATTCCTACCGCGACTTTGTGCACAAAGATATGCAGCGGACAAGAGCGTTCTTGACCGCATAAATGCGACATTGTTGCTGTGTGCGCTCAGGTCTCTGTCTCAGACTGCCAACGACCACCTGAAACTCCCAGCCGACAGCTCGCTTGGGCGCCAAATGCAATTGGTTTTGTCTTACTGGAACGAGAACGGTGCAGCTACACAAGTCAAAGGTGAAATCGAGGCCTGCATATTGATGCATGGGCTCAGGCAGTCAGTTCATCGTTCGCAATCGGCGAATCCTGCCTGCTGCGGTAACAAATCTTCGCGCTGTACGGTCATGCACGCTGATTTGCGAGCCAAACGATAGAGCACAGGCACCCAGAGCAGTGGGTTGTACCTGAAGTGTACCGGCTTCCGTCTTCTTACGCGCCTATCGTACCTGCCATCCGTTGTGAAGGCCTGTTGACGTCAAGCCCTGGAACAAGCCAAGTGCCAACTACTCACCCCACTGTCTAGATGTCCCACTCCTTCTTCTCTTTTCTTCAACAATAACCCGTCACATGCTCCCCAAACGGCACATGCTGAGGTAAACGGCGATGCAGTACTGCCGAAATGACCAGGATGCGAAACGTGTCCTTCCCGTCGCCCCTACTGGCAAATGTCGGCTGTGTCCAAGACGACTTTGTCAGACCTGGGAACATCAACGGATTCCTCTGTGGCTGTAGTACACCATGCAATATATCAAGTCTTATTCTGGTGCAGCATCTACAAACGCCTACTCATGCTGCGATTCAAGGGCCACGGCAAGACGCAGGAACCGGTCTTAATTGAGAGGGGCGCGGCGTGGACGAATGCCGCGGAAACATACCGGCTACATCCTGCATGTCGCTGCAGATACAGATGCGGCTGCAGGTGCATCTGTCCCGCTGTAAGAACTTGCTGGCTACATCGAGTATCCCCGGTGTCCATCAGGTTAAGACGCCCAAAAAGCAAACAACATCAGTACCTAGTCCATGGATATAGATCGCGTTCCGACAAGCCAATGAACTCTCATCCCAGTTGACAAGATATGCTAATGTCAAACAGTAATCACTTCCAGGTCGTCTCTCAACCCACGTTTGATCGCTCGTCGCATTGCACAAGGGGCAGCACAGTCTCGATGTCGCTGCGATTGTACCCATTGGCGGCTCGTCAAACTTTCCCCACTTGCTGGGAAATGCCCAACTTTTGCAAGCCCTTCGCATCTTGACGCACGTGCGAGACCCTAAGGTGGTGTTGGGTGGACCGATGGCATTTCCTTTGCGAGGCGAGCGGGCGGGACTTCGGTTCGATCATTCTCAGCCACATCTCGTTGACAAGGGTATGTAGATGCATGTTACGAATACGCTTACCAAACGGCTATTCCGGTGTAGTTCTACACTGGAGATCATGCTGACATGGGTCTTTAGGCGAGTCTGAAATCCAAAGCTGCATCGACGGTTGGGCTCTGCATGGCCCATAGCCCGCCATACAGGTAAAATAACGTGCTCTTAATGTGGAAGTGATGTAGCAGGATTGCCGATGCTGATTCTTGTTAGACTGTGACTGTTGGTAGCTGACCACGCAGATCCGACGTGCCGTGATCGTGAAGAGGCGGTGTTCTCGACAATATTGCTTTGCTCCGCACTTTCCTTCTTCATGGCCACACACTGGAGCGCATCACCGCTGCCGATCAAACCTATCGCGCTATTGTGGGACCTATGCAGCGGCCATCGAGATAGATCCATAATTCTCCCGCAAACCCAGCGCTGGAACCATTCCGTCAAAAGCAATACTTTCGGCCCGCAGACCAAGTTTACAACTGTGGCATGAGCGCCGTTTTGCCGGAGGCTAAGTCCAAGTGCCAGGTGTGGAGAGGGGCAAGACTCCGTGGTCCGCGCAAAAGCAAGCAACAGCTGAAGGACTGGGATAAGCGGGGTAATCGCAAGAGCGCATATCAAATTACATCATAGCCAGCAAGAAAAAGCATGGCGTCGTGTGAGTGTGCGTGTGTGCCAGAACTCAACATATCCACCCTTTGTCACACCGATATGCACATTTATACACAAACGGCGAAGATTACTTGCAAAACAAATGTTGACGACTGTGTGCGCATCATACTTTGTATGCAGCTAGAACATGTGGAAAGATGCAAGGTCTCATCTTTGCCTTGTTGGTAAGCCAGACACCCAATGGCGCACGTGCTATTACTTATCCCTACAGTATTCATCTTGCTTAGAGCGGCTATATGGGACCATCAGATCTTTGCGATGAAGTCTACAAGGACCTTTAATCGTTTGTGCTTGTAACATGCACCTGTTCCGATGCTCAACATAAACTGGTTTGGTATTTTTGTGTATTGACCTAATGCCCTCTATACGCAAGCATCAACATCACAAATCAACTACATAGCCTTTCTCTCTGTCGAGACACACTACATCCGTCGGCGTTACGGTAATGGGGTCGGTGCGGATAGAATAACAGATGCGCGCAAATAGCTAATGCGTCCGTGTCATGATATCTGTTTGCTACCTAGCCACCCAGTCGAAATACTTCCAAGGTTTGATTCAACAAGGTCTATCCAACATCCAACATGCATAACCCAAAGCCCTCGTCCCAAAAGCTCTACTTGCTATACTCATTTACAAAACGAATAACAGACTCGTAAACCTCTTTCGGATTGGATGCGCTCAAGAAGTGCTGGCCGCCTTCGATAACCTCCAATTTGGCATTCGGCGAGTTCGTGAAGAGTTTCATCTCCTCTTTGGCGTTCGCGACCGAATAAACAACATCGCTAGTTCCCTGTGACGACAGTCAGTTGCGAAATCACCCTAGAGAACACATCCGCAATGAGACCAACGTTGTCATGAAAAGAAAAGCATCCATCCACTTACATGCAACCGCAAAACCGGACACAGCACATCGCTCAAGCGCATATGCAATCCGTCCCGATCTCTAAGATTAATTGCACACATCCTGATCCTTCGACGTCCTTCGTCGCCTTGATAATTGTTCTTAATCTCATCAATCCAGAAGGCGCGGACGTCTTCGGGACAGTCCTCCATTCCCAAGCCCACGTCGATGAGGAAGTTGCAGAAATCTGTGCTGGGTACAAAGTCTGGCGTAGGCTCATTGGATTTGGTGCCGAATTCGCCGGTGATGCGGTCAGCGAGAGGGTCAACGGCGTGCCAACAGCCTAGATCGCGAGAACGAGGGGACTCATAGTCTAAGGATGTTCCAAGAGGTACTATGCCAAGGATCTTGGTAGTTCCTCTGTCAATATCTGGTAGAGTGCGTCACAAATCATTAGACATGGCGTGGGTCGCTTACCTTTTCCGGCGCCAAAAGTGCCATTCGTACCGTCACCCATCCTCCCTGGCTCGTCCCTAATACAAAAGCTTTCTTCACACCCAGCTTCTCCATAACCTGCAGATTCATCATCGCAGTATCCCAGTACGTCCAGTTCTCAGTCTTTGCGCGCGTTTGTCCATGACCCAATAGCTCGATCGCTACCAGATTCATCACCGATGTAAGTGTTTCGTTCGTGTATGCATCACGATAGAGCTCCGAAGACGTAGCGAAGGAGTTAATCAAGATGAGGGTGGGTTTGGAGGCGTCCACGGGACCGGAGGTTTGGTAGGCAGCTGTTATGCCGCCGAGGTGGGGGACGTCAATGGTTTTGGTGTTTGGCATGATGCACAGCGAGAAAGTGCACTGTCTTTCGAGTATGGGCGGTTGGTGATCATAGTTGCGAGTCGTGAGGCTGATGTTGTCGTGTGAATTTGCAACGACGTCACATGTCGATCTTGTGGGGAACGTTCGGGCCGAGGGGGTAGGTTATTTCCTTATTTGGGATAACATAGTGATGCGTTTACAAATCATCACACAATATAGGTATGAAGAGATGCGCGTGTCTTAGAATGTTATCATTTGGTCGGCGGAGCGGCAATTCTGTTGAAAAGCAACATGAGAAACACACATAAAGTGCCGCAAGAGCATATCATCAATGGTAAATCTTTGCAAGAGAATGTACATGTTTGCCTTCGGACGTATAAAGCTATGTTGCTGTGCATATTGCTTGCTTAGTTCTCCAGAACATACCTATACCTCGCTTTTCCTGCCTCCATGTCCACAACCGCGGTGTTAGCATCCTTCATTGGCCTCTTCTGGATCCATGGCTTGATCTTCTTCTCAGCCGCCAACTCCAACATCTCCTTGATCTCCCATGGGGCACCGATGCCAGAGCCTCCAACCTTGAGTCCACCAGAAAGAA